GACTGTGTTTACTTTTAGGCCCAATATTTGTCACTAACTAGCTGTATGATCTTGGACAACTTAATGAATCTGTCATAATGTGTTTTCTGAAAGGCATGCCATTAACTAAAGAGCTAAGAAACAAATTTCCTGAAATGCAATGCTACAGCAATCTAATGAGCTTGTAAAGCAAGTTATCAGGTAATAACAAGTGAATTTTGTAATGTCTCAACATCAAATTTCTAGATATAATTGTACTATCCTGATAGCTTATCAAAACTCATGAAACTACAAATAGTCTTTTAGAAACACAACAGCTTAAAGTATAATACAAATAAAGATATTCATATAGATTTCCAAGAGTCAGTTATCTATTCATTCAATAACATTGAGTGACCAGTGTACCAGGCTCTGAGGATATAGCAGTGAAAACAAATATGATAAATGTTTTATCTGCTCTCAAAGAGATCATTGTCTAGAATGGGAAACAATCATAAAAAGGATAAGTTCTGTGATAGTGTTATGTATAAGGGAGCCACTGGAGCACAAAGAAGAAGACAAATACCTAAACTGGTCTTTTGGAGAGAGGTGATTAGGCAAGGTTTTTCCTGCAGCAAGTGACTTCTAGGCCTAGGTCTAAAGGATATGGGTTAGGGAAGCATTTCAGGAAGAGTGAGCATGATATTCAAAGGCAAAGGAATATATAATAATATGAAAAATTCAAGCATACTATCTTAGTCTGTTTGGGCTATTATAACAAAACACCTTCAACTGAGTAAGTTATAAACAACAGAAATTTATTTCTCACAGTTCTGAAGGCTGGGAAGTCTAGGGTCAAAGTGCTGGTAGTATCTGGTGAGGTCCCACTTCCTTATAAACAGCACCTTCTTGCTGAGTCCTTACATGGTAGAAGGGGCAAGGCAGCTCTCTGGGGCCTTTTTTATAAGGGCACTAATACCATTCATGAGGACTCTACCTATATGATTTAATCACCTCCCAAAGTGCCTATCTCCAAATATTATCACATTGGTGAATAAGTTTCAACATCTGAATTTTGGGGAAAAGCAAATATTCAGGACATAACAGATACTAAATAGTTTGAAAGAGTTAGAACAAAAATCCTTGTTGGTTGGATACTGTGCTGCAGGGGCAAGAGTGCCAGCTCTGGAGTGAGTTAGCCTGTTAAATCACAGATCTGCAATTCACCAGCTGTGTAACCTTGGACAAATAACTTAATCTCTTTGGACCTTGGTTTCTCATTTGTAAAATCAGTACAATTTATAAATATACCTCATAGGTTTATTGTGAGAATTAAATATGTTAAAACAGGTAAAATATTGATCCTTTCAATAGATGAAGAAAAAGCATTTGACAAAATTCAACACCCTTTTATGATAAGAACACTTAACAAAAGAGGCATAGACGAGGCTTACCTAAAAATGATACAAGCCATATATGACAAACCCACAGCCAACATCATACTGAATGGGGAAAAATTGAAAGTATTTCCACTTAGAACTGGAACCAGACACTTCTATTCAACATAGTTCTGGAAGTCCTGGCTATAGCAATCAGACATGAGAGTGGAATTAAAGGCATCAAATTGGGAGAAGAAGAGATCAAGCTCTCACTCTTTGCTGATGATATGATATATCCAGAAAACCCCAAGGATTCAACCAAGAAACTCCTGGAATTCATAAATGAATTTAGTAAAGTCTCAGGATACAAAATCAATACACACAAATCAGAGCCATTCCTATATGCCAATAACAGTCAAATTGAGAATCAAATCAAAGACTCAATGCCCTTCACAATAGCAACAAAGAAAATAAAGTACCTAGGAATATACTTAACCAAGGAGGTAAAAGACCTCTACAGGGAGAAATATGAAACACTGAGAAAGTAAATAGCAGAGAAGATAAACAAATGGAAATCCATACCATGCTCGTGGGTCAGTAGTATAGACATTGTTAAAATATCTATACTACCCAAAGTGATCTACAGATTAAATGCAATCCCTATTAAAATACCAACATCATTTTTCACAGATATAGAAAAAATAATTTTACACTTCATATGGAACCAGAGAAGATCCCATTATAGCAAAAGCAATCCTAGGCAATAAAAACAAAATGGGAGGTATCAATTTGCCAAATTTCAAAGTATGCTACAAAGCTGTAGTAATTAAATCAGCTTGGTATTGGCACAAAAATAGGGACATTGACCAGTGGAACAGAACTGAGAACCCTGATATAAAACCATCCTCATATAGACATCTAATCTTTGACAAAGCAGATGAAAACATACACTGGGAGAAAGAACCCTTGTTCAATAAATGGTGCTGGGAAAAACTGGATAGCCACATGTAGAAGACTGAAGCAGGATCCACACCTTTCACCTCTCACAAAAATCAACTCACGCTGGGTAACAGACTTAAACCTAAGGTATGAAACTATTAGAATTCTAGAGGAAAACATTGGAAATACTCTTCTAGACTTTGGCCTAGGCAAAGAATTTATGAAGAAGACTCCAAAGGCAATTAGAGCAACAATAAAAATAAATAAATGGGACCTGATCAAATTAAAAAGCTTCTGTACAGCCAAAGAAACTGTCATGAGAGCAAACAGACAACCTACAGAATGGGAGAAAATTTTCACAAGCTACACATCTGTTAAAGGGCTGATAACTAGAATCTATTTAGAACTCAGGAAAATCAGCAAGAAAAAAATCAAACAATCCTATCAAAAAGTGGGCAAAGGACATGAACAGAAACTTTTCAAAAGAAGACAGAATAATGACCAACAAACATATGAAAAAATGCTCAACATCTCTAATCATCAGGGAAATGAAAATCAAAACTGCAATGAGATGTCACTTAACTCCAGTAAAAATGGCCTTTATCAAAAAGTCCCCAAACAATAAATGTTGGCATGGATGCGGAGAGACAGGAACACTCCTATACTGCTGGTGGGACTACAAACTAGTTCAACCTCTATGGAAAGCAATATAGAGATACCTTAAAGTGATACAAGTGGATCTACCATTTGATCTAGCAATCCCACTACTGGGAATTTACTCAAAAGACACTCTATAAAAAAGACATCTGCACTTGAATGTTTATAGCAGCACAATTCACAATTGCAAAGCTGTGGAAAGCTAGCTCATAAGTTGAGGAGCAAAAATTTGAACCCTGATCTGTGTAATCTGAATGTATAGTGTTTGGCACATAGTTAATGTGCAATAAATATTTGTTGAATACATGAGTGAATAAACACATCAGTAAATCCATCCTCTTCTGCAGCTGAACCTATGGGTTAGCTTTAATGCTTTTCATGATCTTGATAAGCTCAAGTCATTGTTAAGAGTAAGGAAGAGGTGTGAGCCACAAAAGAGAATTTACATAGAAAAACCTCTTGACCAGAAATTCCAATTTGGAAAAGAGATCTGAATTTCCTTAGAAATTACACACACACACACAGAACCTTCTGGAACACCTTCAACACACACACACACACACACACACACACACACACACATTCAGGCACACAAAAGCATACATTTTTTTAACCTCATGCTTTCTTTTGTCTTCTTAACACCTCTGAAAGGGTGTAAATAATAGAATGTCAGAGCTAGAAGGTACCTTAGAAATTATCTAATCAGATCCTTTCATGTTAGTGTAAAAATTGAGGCTCTAGAGGGGAAGTAAATTGCAAAAGTCACACAAAGAATTAGAGTAAGACTAAGAATCTCAGTTTCCTGACTCAAGTTTGTTTCACTCTGAACTGTCACCATTTACCATCTTAATTTTATAGATAAGGTAACCAAAGCATCCCAAGAATGTTGATGGCCAAGCTCCTGCCATTTGTCCATTGAAACAGAGCTTGAAATCAGATTTCCTTTATTTTATTAATAAATAGGAGGCTTACTGTCATCCAAGTGCTTCTGTCTAGATGCCCAAAAGGAAGAACAGTTGCTGTTTAATTGAATAGTGGACTGAAGATAATTTACAGAAAGATTTGTCTTTCATTTCACTTTAAGAGGAAATGTTCAAGACTGCTTTATTTTCAGAAGCCTGGCAGTTCCACGAAGATTCCATGAAGGCAGGAATCCTCCATCTAATCCGTCCTTATTGAATACACAACACTTAGCACTTAATAAATATTTATTGTTGAAAGTATGACACACTAAAGGCAGAAAGAGAAATTAGGTTGGGTAATGGTTTGCCACTGGCAATGGATGGACAATCAGTGCTGATAAAGTGCAATGAATGAGGAAAAGAGGTAGGAGAAGCCCTTAAACAAAGGAGAAGCTCTGTCTCTTTATCTGATTGAAGCTGCGCTGAGTGGCTTGTTAGGAGTGTGATTGGCAGAGATATTTAAATGAGGCCTGTTTAAAATTGTTACTCTCCACCCCACCGCCATTCTCCTTTAAATTTTGTTTCAGTCATTACCCAGGTACCGGATAAAGAGATTCCTATGGGGAGTTCTAATGGGTCGATTCAATTTCATCTGGATGACGCCACTTAGCCAAGCATTAAGAGCTACAGCTCCGGGAAAGCAAACACAGAGAGGGAGAGAGAAATGATAACAAGGAGCAATAAATTCCTTCCTTCCCATCCTCCTCTATAACCCATTCACAAGACCTCCAGAAATCATCTATATTCACAAAACAGCCAGCTGGCTAAGCTGAACACACTGCAATCTCATCCCCCTCCTCCACGCAGATTATATACCAACACACCCTGAGCTATATAAGTAATCATACACTAGCGGTATCTAGTGCTCCGTTGAGATACGCTGTGTCTACAATTGCTGTTTATGCTGCTTGGGAATTGGAGGAGACGAGGAGGCAGAGGTGGAGGCGGGGGCAAAAGAGAAGGAGGGGAGGAGGTAAAGAAGGTGGATGCGAAGGAGGGAAGGGGGAGGGGAAGAAGAGGGAAAGGAAAATACCGGAGGAGGGGGTTGGAAAACAGGAGGAGGAGGAGAAGGGGGAGGAGAAAGAGGCGGAGGAGGAGGGGGAGGAGAAAGAGGAGAAGGAGGAGGAGAAAGAAGAGGAGGAGAAAGAGGAGGAGGAGGTGAACAACTTACCCTGCTGAGCTCTCTTTGGGGAATACGTGCATCAAGATTTAGATCTGCATGTAAAATCTATACTAAGTATCTGCCACTACAGGTCTGACTCTCCCCGTCCTCCGTTGTTTTTGTTTGTTTGTTTTGGTTTTGTTGTTGTTGTTTTTCTTTCTGTTTTCTCTGCTGTGTCAAAGACCAAGACAGAACTATCTCTGTTTCTGGCTCCACTGTCAGTGAAGGAGTTTTCATTCAGACTTTCCGAAGGAAAGGTGGAGAAACCTAAAGACTCAAGAGAAGAGATCTGTTGAGCCAGATGGTGCATCAGTTCTTCTGCTTTTCGCAGCATGGATAAACCCCTTCCTCAAGGTAAGCCATAGAGATTAGCTCTTAAAGACCCCAGAATTCTTTCTATGCAATGTACAAATTGCCATTCATTCCAGCCATCCTGTGCTGCGTTTTGCGTGCGTATGTGTGCGTGTGTGTGCGCGCGCGCGCAAGCGCGTGGGTAAAATAAAAACGAAAACCCTTAAATGAGATTTAAATGAATCAGCTCTTGTAGAAAACTAAACGTATTAGAAATTTCTAAATCAAAATAGGACTTCAAAATAATCTTTTTGTAGCCAAACGTCAATTTAATTTCTAGCCCGTTGACCTTTAAATGTTTTTTGGTGCTTGTTTAAGCCCCTCATAGTGCAGGCTAACCACCCAAGCTGAGGATGTAGGGAAAGCCCCTGCTGAGGCCAGTCTGGCTGCCCAGCGGGCATCCTGTCAGTGTGAGGCTGGTCTGCTATTGGTTCACAAGTCTGGGCTGTGCATCGTTCAGATTTCATCACATCACCTTGCCCTGGGTAGAAATGGCGCAAGCTAACACGGCATAACACCCAGCTTACATTGAGTCAGAGCAATGATTTAGAAATCTCTGGATCCATGCCTGTGTATGTGTACACATGTCTCTGTGTGGCATGTGGAAATTTTGTCAAAAATGAGAACCTGTGAGCATGTCTAGTTAGCCGTTAGGCATTTGATAGAACCTAGGGCAGTGGTTTCCTGCACGCTCCCTTCCACACGTCTAACTAATTTTAATCATCTTTCACTTCTGCATACTGCAAACCAAGTTGGATGAACAGAGAACAGATCTTGAACTCTTAAACAAAAATCTGTTTTGAAATGCAAACTATTGTTGCTTTTCTGGGCATATTAAACACTCACTGTAATATGATGTGCTGTCACAGGAATCGACTATACCAGGTGCTTAAATCATGTTCCCAACAAGTCAGCTGCATATATAAATACAAATAAGGCACAGACTAGCAGTTTATCCACAATAAAGTATTAGTCTTGTTCTTTTTGCCTCTAAACAAACATATACTAAGACTTTATTATAACATTCTATAATTTTGTTTCTTTGTGTTCCGTCTTAGGTCTCTAGCTGTGAAACAGTCTATCTTAGTGATCTGAGTGACTTGGATTTGAAGGTATTTATTCCAAGTTAAGGAGTTGAGTAGTAAAGAACCTAAAGGAAAGACTTTTGAGACAGAGAAATGCAACCAACAAACCCCACATAAAATTGAGAGTATCTGGACAAGAAAGGGCTTTTAAAACCCTCGTTGTATACCCTCTAATTTTGTGGATGAAGAAACTGAGGTCTGGAACATAGGTCACTGGCCCACAGTCACACAGCAAAGTAGAACAAACAATAGGACTACAATTTAAGTTTCTTGTGTCTTATAAAAGGATTGGGGGTTTAAAGAAAGATTCCTACTTCTTAAATGAACAAATAGCTTCTTAGAGTTTTCCTCAGCATTAGAAGTATGTGAATTTGTTTGGTATTAAAAATTTTCCCTGTATCGTTCCTCAATAAAACACCTATGTCTTCAATAATGCAAGGTCTTAAAACTGCAAGACTCCTTGGTTTGAAATAAACTTCTATGAGTCTAATGAAACTATTAAAGTAATGAATAGGACTAGGGTAGCAAAGTGACGAGTTAAGAGTTAAATGTGGTGAGAACCTGGCAGCCCCAGCAAGATGTATGCGGTGGGAGGGAGGCCCAGTCAGTGGCAGAGAGGTTAGTAATGTAAACTATATACAACTTGGTATTTGTAAGGGGGGAAGTGCTTTGATAGAGATGCAAAAGCTTTTGCACAGAGAGGGATTTTTAGAGAGCAGACTTTGGAACAGTAGAACTAAGAAAACATATACATCCATAGCAGAAATTCCCCCTCTATGTTTGCTTTCAGTTATTCTGAGAACGGGTGTATATAACAGCATAGCATAGAAAATGGTCATGATGGAGACTCAGACTTTTGGGGGGAGGGGGAAATGGGCATTTATTGAAACCTTAAAATCTGTACCCACATAATATGCCAAAAAAAAAAAAAAGCAATGCACCTCAGGGCTGTTACACAGTAACATAAAAAACAGCATTAAACCCATGGGAGTAGGAGAAAACAGGAGCCAGGCTCTCCTTCTCTTCCCCCCTCTTCTTTGAAATCAATATTGAGTCATATTGTATCAGAAAGGATTTGTCATAGAAATAAGACTTATCTAAAGGAGTTAGCATAAAAGGGCTTTATATAGGAATGTTTTCAGCTTTAGTTCCAAGATGGCAGATTTTAGGTTCCAGAGAGAAAATACATTTTCTTTCATTAACAAACATTATCATTTCTTGAATGGATTTAGCTTTCTAGTTCCTAAATTGGCATAAGAAAAGACAGACATTTTTATTTAGGTTGAACATAGCAAATTTCAGAGCTACAGAAAAACAGTTGGAAAATCTGTGAGCATTTGGACAGAGAGACTGAGATGGGAGTGGGTTTACAATGCATCATTCATTACTGCAGAGGTACTACGTGACAAAAATCACTAGATTCCATCAATGTGCAATCAAGACTTATAATCACCTTGACTCCTATTAATATATGATATGTTTGTTCTCTCTCTTATTTAATAGAATATGGAATTGACCAACAGCCCAGTCGGTTTCTTAACTGTTGTTCACAATGAATGGCTCTTTAATGGGTATATTTCTGAATCACAAACATGCATGTAGTCATAGTTTTTCATCTAGTCTATGTGCTGCAGCAGTCTCATGCCTATTCCTTTCTCAATAATTTTTTCCCTCTTACCTTCCTCTACAGTATCTATTTCATTTCATCCTGTTAGCCAGATAGGATTCAGCACATCCAGAATGGCAAACAATTTATTGTCACTCAATCCTTTTTTAATTCCTACTTAACACCCTGATTTTACCCAAGTCCTACTGCCCACCATATTACAGATCTTTCACACTCGATTCCAGAGTTCATTTGCATAAAAGATTTTACAGAGCAGGAAGAAATCTTTTGAGTTCATCCTGTCAGTCCTCTTACCTATAAGTAAGACAGTACCTCATAATTCCAGACTGATACCCACAGCTTCCTTAATCATCCAACAAAGCATCTCAACTCCTCAGTCTTGTGTAAATCTAATCAATATTCAAATACGCCTTCTCAACCTAAACACCATGTACCCTTCTGCTCCCCAGACAAGATCCCCTTTGAACATGGTTCTCATTATTGGTTCCGAATCATTTATATTATGACCTAGATTCCTTCCTTTCAATCTTCTGGGCATGTCCCTGAGATACCTAGAGACATCCCTAGAATCCTGTCTTTGGAATCTCACATGATTATCTCCTGTAATTTTGAGACCTTATATATCTTCCTTTGAATCATTGCTTCTTGGAATTTTTAATATGTTTTGAATCTAGTTTCCTCTGAGAAATCAATGAGTCTAAACTGCATCCAGCATGTATATTATTGTTCTTACAGTGTAAAGGACTTGAAGGTTGCCACATATCCTTTAACTGATCACTGAGACATAAATCCATTTCTTATAAATTTGTCAAAGACTCTTTCCAGTCCAAAGCTCTTACATCCACAAACCCTCCAAGCCAAATGCACAATGTGTACTTTTTTATTTGGGTGTTCAAATGAAAACTGCCTGTTCCTTTCCAATGCTGAGACTATAAATCTATAAAAATACAGCAAAGATAGAGGTGGGAAGTTGCAGGGGGCTTTGAGTACAAGGAAATGAAGGAGAAATACATTTTTTGTTGTTGTTGTTTGTCCTTTTCTTCTTTTTTTTTCTTTTATTTTTTTTATCTGAAATTCTGTGGGTACAAATATTGTTAGGGTTACATATCTTGCCCCTGCCCCCCCTTCCCACCCTGCTCTGCCAGAGCTTCAAACGTGTCCAGTCTTTAAGTGGTGCACCCTGCACACACCATGAAAGTGCGTACCCTTCCCCTTCTTCTCCCTTCCACCTGTTCACCTCCCATTAACAAATTTTTTTTTTAGACATTTTGGTTACAAGTGTGTTTCTTTGCCTCTCCCTAAAAAGGGATAGAAGTAATCCTTTCCCCCCTCCAATGCTCATCACATCCTTAAGATGTGGGTCTGCCTTTTTGAATGCCCAAATAAACAAGGACACATTACTCAACTTACTCTAAAGGACTTGAAGATGTAGAAGGTATGGATAAAAAGAAATATTTTATCAAGTTGCTTAGTTATAGAAATATAGATCATAATGGGGCAACAGTCCTTCAAAATTACCTAATCTACCCCTATAAATATTTAGATAGTGAAACTGAAGCCCAAAGAAAACAAGTGATTTGACAAAGGTAACATGGATATGTGAGTCTTAAAAAGTCTCCATAGTGTTTATTTGCATTCACTTGTGCTGCATTTAACACCAAAACAACTGGCTAAGATGTGAATTTTTTGTCAGCCTTGTTCTTTCATGTGATGTGGCAAAGAAGTTATTTTTAACCAAATTAAATCTTCTTTTAAAAAAATGAACAGATGTGAATTCAGCTAATCAGGTTTACATGGGGATATAGCTTCAAAAGTCAACTGAGTCTGGTCATGTTATTAACCACTGAGTCCTTTATGAACTGCACCCTTATTTTTATTGTTATTGAACTTTGGGCCCATTTCAGTGACATATTTGCTTGCTTATGGAAACCTAATCAAACCTCTCCCACTTGTTTATTTCTATTACTTCTTAAAGTTATCCATCTCATACAGTAGTATGATTAATTATTCTATCTTGAGGAAGCCTGGAATCTGATGGATTTGAAATATATACTTTATTCATGCTAGTGTTCCCTCAGTCCTAATGCCTGCAGGGTATCTTTTGTATTTGTGTTTAGGCTTCCTGGTGTACACTTTTTTGGCTCTTCAGTCTTCCAGGTGGTGTGATACAGCAGTGTACTGTTTGTACAATGTTTTCCTTATAGTCATCATTATCAGTTCTAGGCTTGATCAGATCCTTCTGGGAATGACTACCCAATTCTTCCTGATTGTGGTACAATCTCCATACAAGCATGGGCTTTCTAGATGTTCAACTTTGCTTAATTAAATGTGGTATAAAAATGTGGCTGCTCTTTTAGAAAACTAGTTTATTGCATAAAGTAAAGATAGATAAAAGAAGTCCAAGTAGATTCTGTTTGGTAAATCTTATCAATATGGAGTTGACTCAGGGTGGTAATAAGTACAATTATAGATGATATTTGAAATAATTCAGGGTTTGCCTCCTATGGTTCCCTTATCCTCAATGCCACTCCCATGTATACACAAGTTTGATTCTGGAACCACCATGCCACTTAAAAAGAATCACCTCCTCAATAAGTTAAAGCAGCCAGTAAGGTGAGGAAAACCATAAGATAATTAGTCTTGACTTCCTTATAGACTTGAGAAGACTTTTTTCCTATTACTCTACAGACAGTTTAATTCCTGCCCTCTGTATCTCTGCCATATCTCTGCCATCATTACATTCTGCTTGCTTGCCTATATTTATTGAATCAAACAATGTCCTTTCCCATCTGGTTTTTTGTTTGTTTCTTTCTTTCTTTTTGAGAGAGTCTCTCTCTTTTGCCCTGACTAGAGTGCCGTGGCATCAGCCTAGCTCATAGCAACCTCAAACTCCTGGGCTCAAGCAATCCTCCTGCCTCAGCCTCCTGAGTAGCTGGGACTATAGGCATGCACCACCATGCCCGGCTAATTTTTTCTGTTTTTAGTATAGATGGGTCTTGCTCTTGCTCAGGCTGGTCTCAAACTCCTGAGCTCAAGCGATCCTCCAGCTAGGATCCTCACAGTGCTAGGATTACATGTGTGAGCCACCGTGTCCGACCTCCCATCTGTTTATTTTTGCTTATCATAAATTACACTGAAAGGAGAATTTTGATTGGTAATATATATGTATATCACTCATATTTATGATAAACTTCTTGTGGACGACTTTTGAGGCTTTCTCTTTTGTTGCTTCTGCATTGCTTCAGAAAGTGGACCTTGCATTTAACATTAGGTTCTGTTTTTATTAGAATGCTGATGCTCAAGGCTTACATTTCTCTGCTAACAACACCTGAATGAACTAGCTGCTCCTGTTAACCTAGTCATATGACAGAATACAAAAGTATCCATGATCTGATGTTTGTTCACAAACTGCTTTATAGTCCGAATGAGATGACCAGATTTGCCTAAATAAGTAGGTGAGGTCAATTACAAAATGAAAGTGTAGTATGAAGATTACTGTAAAATGACTGAAGATAGTGGTGATACTAGGACCTGAGCTTTGTTGATTCCCTGCAAAGTACTTATGCCTGTGTGTTCTAATTTATTGTTTCTATTCCTTCTCTCCTAGGATTTTCTGATGTGTCCTGAGGTCCATGTAACTACATGGGCTCTTCTTTATCACCATAAGTGCCACCCTGACCCAAAACCACTCAGAGCTCAAAAATCAAGGCAAAATGGATGCCACGGTGACAGATGATTTTCAACAAATTCTGCCAATTGAACAGCTACACTCTACTCATGCTAGCAATGATTACGTGGAACGGCCTCCAGCCCCCTGTAAACAGGCCCTCTCCAGCCCTTCCCTTATCATGCAAACCCACAAATCTGATTGTTCTCTGTCTACCATGGCTACTGCTCTCCCTTGCAGTCTCAGCCAGTGCCATCAATTGCAGCCCTTGCCTCAGCATCTGAGCCAATCTAGCATTGCCAGCTCAATGTCCCATAGCACCACTGCCTCTGATCAAAGGCTCTTGTCCAGCATTACACCCTCACCTTCAGGCCAGTCCATCATCCAAACCCAGCCTGGAGCAGGAGCCCACCCAAAGGCTGATGGTTCTCTGAAGGGAGAAGCTGAGCAGTCTGCTGGGCACACCAGTGAGCACCTCTTCATCTGTGAGGAGTGTGGGCGCTGCAAGTGTGTTCCCTGCACAGCAGCTCGCCCTCTCCCCTCCTGTTGGCTGTGCAACCAGCGTTGCCTTTGTTCTGCGGAGAGCCTCCTCGATTATGGCACTTGTCTCTGCTGTGTCAAGGGCCTCTTCTACCACTGCTCCACTGATGATGAAGACAACTGCGCTGATGAGCCCTGCTCATGTGGGCCTAGTTCTTGCTTCATCCGCTGGGCAGCCATGAGCCTCATCTCCCTCTTCTTACCCTGCCTGTGCTGCTACCTGCCTACCCGTGGATGCCTCTATCTGTGCCAGCAGGGCTATGATAGCCTCCAGCGACCAGGCTGCCGCTGTAACAGGCACACCAACACTGTGTGCAGAAAAATCTCTTCTAGTAATGCACCCTTACCCAAGCCCCAGGAAAAATCTGTATGACCTTCCCACAAGATGGATCCAGAGCTTTCTCCTTAGCCCCCACCAGTAAAGCATAGGCCTCATTCTTGGATGTGGCAGGGGGAGTAATAAACTAGCCAAAGTTAGGACCTCACCCCTTTTGTTCCTGCAATGTCAAGGGAATGACCAAGAACATCTTGATGCAGGATGCCTTGTTCTTCCTCATAGTATCTATTTCATTCCTCTTCAATTGTTTTACACCCAGCCAGTTCAGCTCTTATGGCTGTCGTGGCAAATTCAGGTGATATGTGGGCATGAGGTTTGGACACTGAGGACTGACAGAGCCAGCAACGTGGAGGTTTAGGGGCTCCCCAATGTAATGCCTCTCGATGCAGGCTCTGGTTGTCACTCTGCTTTCCACAGTGCTTTTGGAAGCTTTCTTCTAAAATGGTTTTCACAGGTATATGTGGAACAACATTCAACCTTCCAGGGAATATGACCCTTTCTCCCTGTTTACTGCCTTTCTCTTCTTTAGTCATCTGTCTCTCTTTCTCCTCCTCTCCTTTTCTTTCACTGTCCTGTTCTGTATTCCTTCCTCTTTCATTCTCACCCTCTCTACTTTTACTTTTCTTCTCTTTTTCTCTCTCTTCCTTTCTACCCCTTCCCTCCCTCTTTCAGACTAATCCTTTCTCTGCCCATATTTCAATCTTGTTTGATCAATATTTATCTTTTTCTATGTATCCCTCTTTCTCTAACCTATCCAGAAGTGCTGTTTTTCCATAGGTGTTTCCTTAAATGCCAAACTTTGCTATGCTATTTACTATTTTTTATTAAGGGAAATGGATTACTGTAATGAACCGATCACTAGCAATAGTCTGTATCCTGATGTGTGTGTGCATTCACAACCACTCTCACCTGTTTGTGAGCATACGAGGCAAAGTTATCTTACATTTCCAGGTTTATTTAATTGAAGTTTTTCTCCCCTTCCCAATAATCAACTTATAGTACTGACAGATTCCACTAGCATGCTGAGTAGGATAGTAAATCAGGATGCTCATAACTTTGTATGTCTGACCCAAGTGCCAAAGGCAGACATGCTTTATAGCTAAATGAACAAAGCAAAGGATATTACAGAAGTATGTTCTCTCTTAGAAACTAACTGCCCTGAAATTGCATGGCTAAGGCCTTAGTAATGGACTTAAAAAGTCATAAAACTTTAGAGCTGGGAGGAATCTTAACTGTTAATCTAGTTCAATGCCCTTATTTTACAGATGGGAAAACCAAGGCCTGGAGATAGGAAGGCACTTTCCCAAGGCCACACACTGAGTTAATAGCAGAATTGGAACTGGAATACAGGTCTTCTGACTCCTAGTTCAGTATTCCTTTCCCTGTACCACAGTGAGTCATGGGACTTTTTCCTATGACTCTATTAACAGTTACAGAAAGCCATTCCCATCCAATTATTAATACTTTTCAGGAACCATGCCAAGATAGTGTGGCAGTCTTTCTACAATGCGTGGTGGGTAGCTAATTAACTACCAGGGGTTGAGGCTGCCCTCAGTGGACATCAGCTTTGGCTTTGTCAGCTTGTAGAAGCTCAAGTGTGGAAAAGAAAAGCTTAAAGAAGCCCTAACCAAGCTGTATCTTCGCCATTGCGTCTACTCTTTGCTGTACACACTGTGCTTGCTTCTGGCTTTGTTTGTAATGGCAGTTGCCTGAGAACCTAGATTTCAGCAACAGTGAAAAACTGAAATGAAATGAAATGCAGAGAACTGACTTCTCTCTTAAAAAATACAGAGAGCCTATGATGTGAACCCTGTTCCATGGGAAAAGGCTGCAGTGGTGATGGCAGGCTCCTAAAGACTGCTGCTAAAAGACACGAGAATTATATAATTTCCTTCTGTACGTGAATCTGAAATTCACTAAGGAATTCAAAGATTGAGGGCACTTCCTTGAAATCAAGGTGCTCCAACTTAGTTTAAGATTTCCAGACTTCTAACTTTATATCTCATCTCTTTTAAAGTGTGCATGGATGTATATTACAGGGTGGAGAGGTTGGGGAAAGTATATAGTCATATACAGGGAGATGAAGGGGACATCCATGTTCCTTTGTTGGATGCATATTACAGAAATATGTGCCACACAGTCTTTGTTGGTTCTGAATCTTCCTGATGTATACTGACATCCGGACTGCACACAGCCCCACACCTTCACTTACAACTCCTGTTCTAAAATTGCTTTGCTCTATTTTTGTATATACATATATATATATATATATATATTATGATGATTATTGATAATGTTAATGATATTGCTGAAAATGGTGCCATATATAAGGTTAGGCTTCTTGGAACACTTATAAACCAAAACCAATACCTGTAACCTCTTATGTTGGTTTCAGATACTTCAATTTTAAGTAATTTTTTATCTTACAAGTCTGCTTGATTGTACTTTAAACTTATGTACCCCTAAAAGCTGTGCTTAGTTCTCTGCGTCAAGCTGGATGGTAATGAGTAGCAACACACACTTCTCTCTGCTTCTGCCTGAAATTTGCTTAGAGCTCAGATATCTAAGGATTCTCTGGCACTAGTGCATTGTTCCTGGAGCTAAAGTTATTCTATGGATGTTTGCTTATTAGTTTCAGGCCCTGAAATAACACAAGTCCCTCTTCCTTGATAGCTCCTTGATATCCCAATCTTGTAGTCCTTACTCAGGCAAATTGTGCACTGCCAGAGGGGCCCTGGGCTCTTCCATACACCCAGAGGAGCTCTTCTCAGTGTATTTCTAAATGGCCTTACACTTGGTAGAAGAAACTGAAGGGTTACTCAAATGCAGTTGCAATCTGCTGCTGAGTCAGGGCTTTCACTTGTGTCCAAGTTGGCCTGATATGGACTGCATCTGGTTTATGTATAGATGGGTCCTGTTGGGGTATGCGCATGGACGTGTGAGTGAATGTGCATATGTATCCCTTCTGTGATATATATATATATATTTATATATATATATAGTATGTGTGTGTAAACATATATTCACACATCTCTATATATTTTAATGTATTGCACATGTATATTTAAAATATATATGAAAGAATTCTAAATCCTGCAGAGAGGCTCTGTTTTCACTTTCATTATTTTTCTACTTTGTGTCATGTACTGTATAAGCAGGAACATTTAGAGGTTGTTTCCTGCTTAGGATTTTTTTTTTTTTTTTTTGCAATTAAGTCATCTGTTACCCACTAACTCTACAGCTTTACACATACTAGTCCCTTGATAATTTCATATGGCATTAGCCAAGGAAACTTTGGTTCCAGCCCATCTTCCCTCATCACAATGGCTATGATAAATATAGTGAACACTTACGTAATGCTTACTATATGATAAGCACTATTTTTAGCCTGTTACCTATATTAGCTCATTCAATCCTCACAATAATTCAGTGATGTAGGTACCTTTCTAATCTCTATTTTAAAAAGGGAAAATTAAAGCACAGAGAGGTTAAGTGACTTGCCAAAAGTAACAATTATAAATGGTATAGCTAAGATTTGAACCTAAGCTGTCTGACTCCCAAGTTCATGCTCAGAGTCAGGTATACAATGTATACCAGTCTGGAGTACAATGTAAACATCTGAAGTAACAAACTTTAAATGGTGAATAGTCCTTTCCCTAACTCCAGTCCATCTGCAGCCTAGAAGTTGAAATAAATGTGCTCCTATTTTAGGATTAAAGCAATAATTACAGATGTCATGTATTAGCTATCTTGTTTCTCAGTATGGTAGCATTACAAACTTCTCTATTATTTCCTTTGAAAACATGCTTGCAGCCAGTTACCATTTCTCAGAGAGCTTATGACGTTGAACTAGTAGAGGAATATTTTCACTTGTGCCAGAGAGAGTAAGAGTTTATTTGGCCTTTTATTGGACAAGGAAAACTAATTCAATTTTTTTCTGCACAAAGTAGAACTGAAACTATTTTTGGAACTTGAAATTTGTTTGAGCTATTAACATGCAAACTCATTGATTATAGGAAATGCAGTCTTCTAATTTAAATGTAAGCAATCCACTGATGACCACTGGTCAGTATAACACCTTGCTGTTTACCATCAGCTCTTTCACACGGACAATCCTTTACCTTGACATTATTTCAGACCCAAAAGGAACCTTAGAGAACATCTAGTCCAATGTCAACATCTTACAGTTGACAAAAAAAGATGCACAGAGAGGGGAAATAACCTGTCCAAAGTCACACAGTTCTGAATTTGAGTGGAATTATGACTTTATTCCAGAGTTCCTAATTTCCAGGTGTCTTAGCCTATGTTTCTTAGAAAATAGAGCTTGAATCAAAAACTTCTATGCAATCCAGGGAAGTAGGAGTAAGGAAAAGGGTAATGAGATAAGGAAGGAAAAATAGCAAACATAAAGGATTATATTGCCAAGTTGGTCACAGTCTATTTCATGGCAAGCTAATTTATCAATCTCTTATGACAGGTCATATGAAACTACTACATCTCTATACTTTTTAAAGAGTTCAATAGGATAGGATTCCTTTTTATACAAAGAAGAAGGATATTTTGAAACTTTGTTACTCCTCTAATTGAATAACAGACTTCATTTCCATATAAAAAGAAGCTTTTCAAAACAAGTTAGAGAATACATAGTTTCAAGAAGGCACATTTTGTACATTTCTGAGGGCCCAATAAAGCCTACTCACCAGCAAATTGGTATTAACTGCTCAGCACCTAAGTGGACACATAGGAATTACATTAAATGGGTATTGAGCAGGTAGAAGAGGGGAGGAGGAGGCGGGTATATACATACCTAATGAGTGAGATATGCACCATTTGGGAGATGGTCACACTTGAAGCTCAGACTTGTGGGGGGAGGAGGGACAAGGGTATTATTTGAAACCTTAAAATTGGTACGCCCATAATATGCTGAAATTAAAAAAAAGTGTATCTAAGTCAATGTATGTACATGAATGCACATCATCATAATAGCAGGAAAATTGGTCAAGTTAATAAATTAGGGGAAATTAGCTAAACAAGGTATTTTGCAACTGAAAACAAAGTAATCTGCTAGTAACTGGCTTTTTAAAATATTTTAGCTACTAATTATGACACCATATAGACACATTCTAACTGTTATACTATCTTTTATTCTCATACACAGTAATTTCCTCTGTCTTACAGATGATTCTTACTTAAAGTCAAAGCATTTAGTTGATAAAAACATTCAATTTATTTGCTTTCATATTTACAGATAGGATCATAAAAGCATTGAATGCATTTCACTGCATTAATTCTTGCTTTTTCATAAAAGAAAAGATGAGTGTAAGGGAGTTCTGAAATTTTTCTAGATGAATAATGAAATCAGGCTATTATCCAAAACAATCTAGCAAAACTCTTTTCAAATGACCTCCACTTTAGTAAGTCCAGTGGTTACTTCTCAGTCCTCATTATATCTGATCTATTAGGAGCATTTGACACAGTTGTTCACTCTGTCCTCCTAAAAATACTTTCACTACTTTGACTTCCAGAGCACCATGTTCTACTGGTTTTCCTCCTTACTTAAC